TAGTGAGGGTCCTCCAAGTTCTCTACAGACCCTAAGCCAATCTTGTAATCCCTTATTCTTCCTCGGGGCTATAGCTGCACGACATTCTTGGGTGGCCTGTTTAAAAATAAGCTGTTCAATTAGAGGCATGGCTTGTTCTGAATCACCAAAAATACAACCGGCAGCCTCGGTCATTCTGGCCACGAAGTCAGAAAATGGCTCTTGGGTCCCTTGAATAATTTTAGTGAGCTGTTTATTAATCCCTCCTTTCTTGGAGAGCGCTTTCCAGGCCCTAATGGCCGAACTGGCGATTTGTTGATAGGCGCCCCAATGGTAGTTTGTTTGATCAGCTGCAAAATGACCCTGGCCTGTTAGTAGGTCAAATGTCCATTGTTGCTGTTCAGGAGTCAAGGCCATCGCATTAGATCTGGTCTGCTCTTGGGCGGCCTCATGCCAGAGTGCTTTCCATTCCAAGTATTGGCCCATGCTGACAAGTGCCACCTTTGCGACCGTCTGCCAGTCGGCTGGCGTCATAGCTGTCGTGGCCAGTCTATCTAGTTGTGCAAGAGTAAAGTTAGCTGTAACCCCATATTTTCTAACTGATTCTGCCAGCTCTTTTCTCTGATTATATTCCACGGGTGCATGAACCCGTCTTCCTTCAGCGCCTTCAAAGACAGGGTAAGCGAGGCGCAACTTTCTTTTTACCCTATCTGGGAGAAAAGAGTACGACTTCGGATGCATCTCATAGGCAGGGGGCGCCGAAGGGACAGCCTGCAAGAGGACTGGTTGATGTCACGGTCCCTGAGACCTTTTGCTGTTTTGTCTGTAACCATCCGGGTGGTATCTTTCTTCCTCATATCTAGCAGCCTCTTCTAATTCGGCCTCTTCCTCAGTATCTAAAACCTCATCTCCTGACTCCTCGGAGTCATCAGAGCTATCTAAATTTAAGGCTTCAAGCTCACGTACAGGGTATAAGCCAGCTCCTCCCTTTGATGTAACAACAGGGGGAGGATCCCTGTGGTCTGGCAAATACACCCCCTTGTCGTCAGTCTTACCGGGGGGCCTTTTTCCTTCTTAGGGATGGATTTTTTCTTGCGCGTGCCCAACCTCTCACTACGCTCGGTTTCTGACATGCTATCCTGAACCTCTTCAAGGGTGCTCCTACCTTCTGCTATGGCGCCCTTACAGGCTTCATCTTCGAGGCAATTCATAACAAGCTTCCAAATCGCCTTTGTCCCTAGTCTCAAGTCTCCGTCTGCCCATTTGCAGTCAAGATCTTTGCCTAGTTTATGGTAACGGTGATAACAAAACATAATGGCAAGAAAGATCAAGAGGGCCCCTAGTACAATCACAAAAAGCCTCAACACTACCTTCCCACAGTGGAGATAATCCCAAACCAAGGTCCAGAAAAGACATACCTCTCCGAGCGCATCTGCCTGCAGTTCTGAATCCTCCTTATAGTCAAGGGGTCTCCGATGGTGCTGACGATAGCGAGGTCTCAGATTCCCCGGTTTCGGCACCAGTTGTCCCGCGCTATCATCTTGCCAGCAAGAACGATGCGGCACACTCAGGATCCTTCTGCAGAAAAGCTTTAATGCCTCTTGAGAGGGAGAGCATAAGCTTACAGAACGGAGACCCCAAACTCCCAAAAACCCATCCCTTATATAGGATGGCAACCGCCGCCTCGGACGTGTCATCCCCTGACTGGCTGCACCTCCTTGGACCATATGACGCCACGGGAGAGGCAGAGCCCAAGGGATGGAAAGTTACCCAGCGCCTGCGCACTAGCTTGTTTACCATTCGGTGCCTGCCTGATGCAGGTGCCATCTTGTAATGGAGAATGCAGGGACGGCTCCCTACAAAGTGAGGCGTTAGCTTTTCTCTACCTGTGAAAGTGGAATCCAGAGTCATATTCTGCTGTATGGCTGTATTGTCTACTTTGAAAACCTGCTGTTGTTAGATCTTCTGGGGAGAACTTGCTGTTTCTACACGGGCATGGAGACAGTTTCTGCCTTTAAACCTTGGGAACCATCTTTGCTATCTTCAGACATCTCTCAGACTTCAGAATTGCATTTAAAGTCCTGGTCTGCATTAGGCTTTGGCTTCTGGGAATGATGTAGTCAGTTTAATCTTCTACCCAGACCATACAACTTTTCCACACCATTCATGTGTAAAATGAAGTAGCCATTTCATTCTTCAGGAATTTTTTCTTCATGTTCACAACTGGGCTAACTAGTTTGCCTGCCCTAGCTTTCAGCATTTCTTTCTCATTTAGCTTCATCGAATAGCTTATGGTTTAAAATGAGAGCTGGGGCAATTTCTTTCACTTAAACACTTAGAGACCACAGTAGGGTTGGTTGGTAATTTCAGTATTGTCTCTGGGAATAGGAAAGGCCCAAGGAAAGTGAGATGGGGAATGGCCAGTCAGTGGAGTATCAGGAGACACATATGTGTTGGATAAGTATACTGTCTTATATGACATGGTTTGTGTTATTCTAATGAAAATTTGGTATTAACAGCAAAGATTGTAGATTACAGGTTGTCATAATTTACAAAACAAAAACTTAAGTTTTATGTTTTGTTTCGTTTTTCTTTGTGTTTCAAGATAGGGTTTCTCTGTGTAACAGTCCTGGCTGTCCTGGAACTCACTCTCTAGACCAGGCTAGCCTCAAACTCACAGAGATCTGCCTGCCTGTAACCTCCTGAGTGCTGGGGGATTAAAGGCATACACTACCATGTCTCCCAATAAAAATTTTTAAGTGGTGCCAAAATTACAAAAATGTGACACAGAAATTGAAATGAGCATGTGCTATTGGAAAAGTGGCTTTAACAGACTTGCTTGATGCAGGATTTGTAAAAACAAAAACAGTATCTATGGCATGCAATATGTTGGTCAATGATTGGTCAGTACGCTATGCTACCCTTTTTAGTAGCTTTTTTCATTTTTTTAAGATTTTATTTATTATGTATACAGTTATCTGCATGCATGCTTGCACACCAGAAGAGGGCACCAGATCTCATAGATGGTTTTGAGCCACATGTGGTTGCTGGGAATTGAACTCAGGTCCTCTGGAAGAACAGCCAGTGCTCTTAACCTGAGTCATCTCTCCAGGCCATCCTCCCTTTTAGTAGCTTTAACATTGGAGCCTCAGATTGTTGTGCTGTGGCAGCTGCAGCACAAAGCCCTCACTCCAAGCTCATGGCCTGGGCTGTCCAACAGTTGGCTTGGATTTCCCCTTCCCTATTTCCCCAGCCCTCCTGCACCTTGCAACAACACAAGCATATAGTTTAGAAAATTGTTAATGGTCATATTTTCCAACCAAGGATGAATCTAAATTATACTCTAATTCTTGAGTCTGCATATGAGTGTTAGGATTGCTTGGGCTAAGTGGCAGGGAAAGGAGTTAAAAGAATGGCAGCAGGAACTCATGTCAGAGAATGAGCATCTGTCAGAGCCTTTTTTGCTGGCTTTGGAATCCAGTTTCTTCATAAAGGCTGTAGGAAAGAACAGTTTACTGGAAAGTCCTGGAAGGAAGCTAAGAAATGAGCCTGCACGAAAGTCTGTGCCTTGTGATTGGAGACTGCAGGGCCTGCCCTGGCCTTGTGACCAGCAAGGAAAAACCCGCCCAACCTCGACCAGCAAGGAAAAACCCGACTCTGGGAAGATCTTCAAGCAGTTTATTCAGGATCCTTGAACATGCTTCTTCTTCTGGCGACCTCGGGGAAACGCCTCGCACAGGCTTAAATCCCCTTGCACTGACCAACTCCAGTGAGCCACGTGGACCCTGCAGATAGGCTGCTCTTATACGGAAGCAAGCAAGCTGAACAGGCTTAGCCAAATAAGGACTTGTTTACCACAGAGAGGGCTCCCCATTGGGAAGGTGGAAGCCAGTGCCATCTTTAAGGCGCGGCACTTCGCAGCTCTCTACAAGGCAGTGCCTGACAAAACACCTGTTGCTGTTCAAGAAAAAGGGACATTAAGAGGAACGGGACAAGACTTACACACAGGAATAAGAAACGTAAATTGGGGATTGAAGGTTGAAATGAGACCTGATGCTGGCTGCCCTGCCACATGCAGTCTTTACTGTGTATGACCCTACACATAGGATAAGGCCCAGGGCTGGAGCTAGGTCCCTGTGATCAGAGGTTCAGGTGGGAGGAAACTATACTGGTTGGACGAGTTTGAGAGAAGCAAAGATGACCCAGGTTAAATCTACAGTGGGCTGAGCACCAGCTGGGTAACAGCCCCATCCATGTTTGGATCCTCAGTTTTCTCTTCCCACCCAAACAGACCCATACAGCAGAGTAGATTCTGGAATGTTCTAGTTTTATTTCTTCTCCCAAGTTTTAAATAACTTGCTGTACACTAAACTATGGTGAGCTAGTGGCAAGGTCCATTCTCTGATATTCAGATAAGCTTTATTTGTACAAGCAAGATATCACCACATATCCTTCCCCCCTTTTTTGTCTAAAAATAAAAAAGGTTATAACTAATAAAACTGTATAAATAAGTACAATATATATGTACAATATGTATAAGCAATAAGTACATTAACAATGTCTAGTCCATTAGCATTTGACAAACTCAGAGAAAATAATTCCATTCTTAATGAGTCCAGTCTTACACCTAATTTATTTTCTATTCTAATTTGCATTTATTACATTATCTTTTAATGTCTTTCAAACCTATTACACTTAACACATCTTTAGTGAATTTCTTTATTGAGTTTGTTAAACAAGGAGAAAACTATAACTATACTATAATCTTCAGTTTCCTCAGATAACTGAGAAGGGAATAATATTAACTGAGTAAGCAGGAAGTATGAACAAATGACTTCCAAAAAATATGAGAAATGACAGAAACAACTGGCTGCCTGTCCATTGGCAAATAAGGCCAATGTAAAGGGAGACACCATGTAACTTACGAGGAAGAAAGAGACCCAGGGCATCGCCAGTAACCCAAGACCACATGGAGTACACAGATTAATAGAAATGGGTTGGCTAATAAGAAGCTTGAGCTGCAGGCCAAACAGTTTCTAATTAATATAAGCCTCTGTGTGTTTATTTGGGACTGGATGGGTCGGAAACTTCGTCTACAGTAAACCAAGCAACCCTGGGGTAAGAATTCCTAATAGATTCATATCTAGATGTTGTTCTTAGTAGACAGGCAGAGAACTCTAATGCCAGTTTGCCTGAATAGACTCACATTTGCTGACATCTCACAGTGAACACAGTCAGACGACAATTGCAGAAAAAGAAGTCAGGAGCTCTTCATGACATAGTGCGTTCACCGTTGTATGGCTCAATTCCATAGTCACACTGCAGAGGAAAATTCATGAAAAATGCAGGTCACTGAGTAGTGGTACTGAGTAGTCCACTGTATTCATCCACCTGCATTCCAAACCCAGAAACCTAACAACATGGTCCTGCCCACTGCCACTCTTGTCTCTGACTTCAGGTTCTCCTGTGCCTTAGAATTTAGAAGCATTAAATGCCCATAGGAGAATGGGAGGTTGGAATTAAGGTCTCCTGTCTATAATGTCACAAGGGTCACAGGGCTAGACCTTCCCCAAACTCAGGTGACCTGAACATAGCTGCCACTTCTCTGCTTGTAGAAACAAAACTTGTGAGAAGCCATGGAGGCAACAGGGCCATGACAACAAATCTTGGGACATGGGGAAGTATCTTGAACTTGATGCAGATCTCAGGGCTAGATAAAGCAACAGGAAGGGATTTGTGCAAGAGGACCAACTGTTCTCTTGGAGGTCAGTGTCTCTAGAGGGATCTCTAACCTGTAGGGGCTGGGAGCAAGGTCCTCAGGGCCATAGTCACATTGGTAATAGACAGTTTCTTATTTTTACATGATTTGCACAGCAAAGCAAAGTGTGTGTTTCCTTACAAATGGCTCAGTGGGTAAAGGTGATTGCTATGCAAGCCTGTTGACCTGGTTTGATCTCCAGAATCCACATAAACCTGGAGAGAACTCTACAAAGTTGTCCTTTGATCTATACATGCGTACCATGGCACACATGAACATACTGATACCATGTACATTCACAATAAAGAACAGACCCCGATCTTCTCACCTTTCCTCCTTGGTAACTTTTTCCACACAGCAGTGACCACAGCTCCAAGGAGAACTGGGCCAGCAGTGATTCCCACAATGGAGTATGTGTGCTGAGGAGGTGGATCTGGGAAATAAAGGGTAAAGTGAGGGGCCTTGGTTCTACTCGGGGTTGCCACAGGGCTCCTGTTTTCCTTGATAGCCTACCCCTCCTTACCCCATCTCAGGGTCATGGGCTCAGGCAGCCCCTCATGTTGCACATGGCATGTGTACTTCTGTTCCTCCCCAGAAGGCACTACCACAGCTGCCCACTTCTGGAAGGTCCCATCCCCTGCAGGCCTGGTCTCCACAAGTTCCATGTCCTGGGTCTGCTCCTTCCCATCTTTCTGCCAGGTCAGGGTGATGTCAGCAGGGTAGAAGCCCAGGGCCCAACACCTCAGGGTGATGTCACCTTCAAGTCTGGGATGATGGGTCACATGTGTCTTTGGGGGATCTAAAATTCAGAGGTTCAGGAACTGCATTACCTTCACTGATGTACAGGACACTTGAGGTGGGAAAGGAGGCACAAAACCCAGGCTTCTAGGATACTCTGTACCCTGGAAAGACCTAGAACCAGTTGGAGCCAGCCCAGAGTAAGAGGTTCCAAGTCTCTGAGAGAAACATTGGGTTCCGACCTGGGGGGGGGGGGGAGGCCGGGTGACTCAGAATTCTAAGTTTGACCAAACTTCCAAAGACACTGGAATGGGGGCAGAAACAGTCTCCAACTAATGTCCCAGGCTGCTGGAGTGAGGTTAGTTACAGTAGGAACTGGCTTCTCCCACCCTGGGGAGCAAGACAGGGGCTTCTCTAATTGTCTAGAGAGAACCTAAGAAGATTCACCAAGGCTAGACCAGAAGGGAGAGAAGTGTCTTTGCAGGGAGCCAAGTGTTTGCTGCCTCTTAGTACCTGCACGTTGCAGTATCTCTTTCCCCTTCTCCAGATGGATGCGGAGCCACTCCATGCATGTAACTTTAAGGTAGGCCCTGTGGTGCTCTGCCTCATTCGTTGCCTCATACTTGCGCTGGGTAATTAGAGCCACCTTGTTTGCTGCAGTCCAGGAAAGAAGGTCCTCGTTCAGAGAGATGTGGTCAGTGCCATCATACGCTATCCTGTAGTACCCACCTCGGAAGCGCCCATCACTGCCCATATAGCAGCCACGCATGGACTGGATGCTGTGGTACCCTGGAGGGCAAAAGTAATCAGCTCCAGGGGCCTGACCCAGCTCACTGCTCTTAGCTTTGCCCCTAAGGCTAAGAGGACTAAAAGTGAGAGTGGTGCCCCCCCACCCCCTCCGCTCGAGACTGGAGGATTTCTCTAGCACTGTGGGGTGTAGGAGATGTGCCAGGCACTATTCTTGTGTTTATGAGCCAGGCCATCCAAGACACATGACTAGGTGACCCGTTCAGGGGCCACTCACCTGATTCACTCTGGTTGTAGTATCGCACCAGGGTCCTCAGATTATCACGGAAAATCTGCGCGTTAGCTTTGGCAATCCGGGTCTGACGCTCCCAGTACTCGGGTGGATTCTCTTCCATCCACTTTGCCCGCGGCTCCTCTCTAGGTGTCATCGCATCGCTGTCGAACCACACAAAGCGCGTGTCGTCCACGAACCCGAAGGCGATGAACCGCGGTTCCTCGTGTCCCGGCTGGGTCATGGCAGAGCCAAAATAACGCAGCGAGTGCGAGTGTGAGCCTAGAGGAAGCAAGAAGCTGACAGCTGCTCCATCTCCCTCCCAGGATCATCTGGTGTGCGGGGCGAGAGGGGAGTTAGGAGCAGGGGGTCGGGACAGGAAGTTGGGTGTCTCTGGTGCCCGCCCTCTCCCTCCCCGCAGAGGCCGTTTCCCTCCTGAACCCACACTCACCCGCGCTGGTCTGGGTCGGGGCCAGAGCGGCCGCCAGCAGCAGGAGCAGCGTGCGCGGTGCTGTCCCCATCTCAGATCTGGAGACTATTTGAGCTCTGCGGGGGGTTTTAGAACCCGGAAGCTCGTACTGGCGTCTGCCGAAAACGTACACCCAATGGGAGTGGGCATTATCTTCGCGTCATAAGTGTCTAGGCAGAAGAATCTGACTCTGTAGGCGAGCGGAAATCTCCAGGGCTGTTTTTTTTTTTTTTTTTTTTTTTTTTTCTCAGCCACCTGCTGTCCTGACCAGGGACCTGGGTGTTTATCCTGCCTCCCAAGAGCTTTTCTCATGTTGTCTCTTAAGAGTTGTCTAGGTCAGCTGTTCTCAGACTTTCTGGCTTCAGGATCTCCATGTGCTCTTAAGATTTCGTGAGTTTCCCCAAGGAAAACTTTTTTTTTTTTTGTGAGTTATATGTATAAATAACAATAGAAACTAAAATCTTGTAACATGTTTTCAGTTTGTTTAGAATATTAACAAATCCATTATGTTGACAAAATTTCCAGATGAACAGTATGGATTTTTTTTTTTTTTTTTTTTTTTTTTTTGCACTTCACAAGTTTGCAAGTCCTTTTCTTAATCTGTTTCAGTAAAGGCTGATGGATTTTATATATGCTTTCTGCATTTAACCTGTTATTCCTGTTGAACATGAAACAAACAGCTTGCCTTACCTACATATGTAGGCGAAATATTTTAAAGCTCTTATCTGATAATTGTGAATACTCATGTTTGATACCACAGCAAAATAAAAATGTATTAATATTTATTTAGATGGGGCTCTTGAATTCTACCTTGGACTTGAAGTGAAGATGGAGTGTTGATTCTGTTTCTGGATGTGTGGCCAGCTTTGTGTGCAAATCTGTATATTACCTCAAATAAAGTGATTGTCAATCATATATACATAATGTGCATATAACTTCCCCTTAATGTTTACAGTTACTATAATTTTCACTCTATAGTTTGCAGTAAGACACAGGTGAGGCATCAATCTGAGGAGTGATTCTAGAGAGACAGCAGCGTTTGAGATTTACATTATACCAAAAGGAGCCATTTTCCCATACCTTCTATCGTTTTGGAGTATGTCATGCATAGAATCAGCAACTTTATTGAATTTTTTTTTATGTGTATGAGTGTTTTGCCTGCAGGTATGTCTTTGTACCACATATGTTCAGTGTCTGAGGGGACCTGAAGAGATTGTTGGATCCCCTGGGGCTTGGGTTACAGATGGTGTTAGCCACTATGTGGGTGCTGGGAACTGACCCCATCATCAAGAAGAGCAGTCAGTCTTCTTAACCAGTTCAAGAATCGGCAACTCTTTGAATCCAGATATTCTGCTTACTGAGTTTTCTCCTCCGGCTCTCACTCCAAAATCAGTTCACCTCAATTAGATCTCAAGGAGTTTTCTTGAGGCAAAATGAGTGACTTAGGGAACCAGTGGATGTCTTCCTGGAAATCAGAGTGTTGTTCCATCTGGCAGTCAAGGAAACCAGCCAACAGTCCTTTGTGGCCACAGGAACGATGGCAGTAGCAGTTTGATGTAGGGTGGAGACAGCTTCATGCTGTGTGTGTAGCAGGCGAGGAGCTCTGTTCAGAGTCCTCTATTCAAGTGAAGATGAAATTCTTGACTTGAAAAAGAAGAACTTAAGAACTACCAGTATGAAGCAAAGTTCAAGTTTATTAGGAGGAGGCATTAACAGGTTTGAACATGAGGTTGGATAGAGGTTGGATAGAAAGAGAGGATAGAGAAGATGGAAAGATGGATTTCAACTTCTCGAGGCAGAGATACTATTTTAGTCATCTTGCTTTGATTGGGTTTACCCACTAAGCAAACCATGGGAAGAATTTACCAAACAACACTACCAAAATATCCACATCCGCATTTTCAAGAAGGAAGAATAAATGTATAGTTCACTGGAAACTAAGTTCAGTCTCTGACAGAGATCTCCCAGGCCTGCCTGTCCTGGATCAGGAGAGATGGCTCGGAAGACACACTGTCAGTGTGGAGAGGAGTCGTGCTCACGTCTAGACTGAACTCATTTCTTTATGTCAGTGCTGACAGGAGACAGACACTCGGACACAGTTAGATGCCAGTTTCGGAAAGAAAAGTCAGGAGCTATTGTAGTCACACAAGGTGGGTGTTTCACACTATAGAAGGAAATAATTAAGAACAAATCCTGAGTGAAGAAAGAAAGAAAAAAGATCACCATAGCTCAGCAATGTGTTCTCTGAACACTTCCTATCCTTCTGGGAGAGATGCGTCAGATCCCTGGGCACTGTCCCTCCCTAAAGCAGTACAGAGTAAGTTCTCATAAGAGCCCACAGCAATAGGTCCAAAAAAGAAATGTGGGAGCCTCTCCATGGGTATCTGTCTATTCTATTCCAAGGGTCTCTAGAACCACCTTCCACTTAATTACCGGCAGCCATATTATAGCTGCCTCTTTCCCACCTGTGGGAAGAAGCAACCAGCGAGAGACCATGAAAGTCATGAGATGAGTGGGAGGAAACTCCTAGTTCAACCCCAGGGAAGTTTCTAGAACTGTGACTGCAGCTCCATGGAAGGAGGAGGAAACATAATGGAAGATTGTACATAACTGGCCTCCTGTAGGTCTGTTCTCAGTAGGGACCTTTTCTGTGACATCTGTTGTGGTGATATCTTACTTGTACAAATAAAGCCTGTCTGAAGATCAGAGAATGGAGCTTGACACTAGCTAACCATAGAGGTCTGGAGGTCTGTACAGACAGACAGGAAGTGAGAGAGCTGGGTGGAAACAGGATATGGATGCATTTGTAGATAGAAGTTCCTGTCCCTATTGGTCCTGTAGCCATTTAGTCTTAAATAAACACACAGAGGCTTATATTAATTATAAACTGTTTGACCTGTGGCTCAGGCTTCTTATTGTCTAGCTCTCTCTTAATTATTAATCCATTTCTATTAACCTGTGTATCATCTCCATGTGGTCTTGGCTTACCAGTAATGTCCAGGTCTCTTCCTTCCTTGGCAGCTACATGGCATCTCCCTCGCAACTCACTCTCCGCATCCCTCTTCCCAGAATTCACCCAGTATGGTAGCCCCACCTACTACACTTCTTGCCTGGCTACATCTTGCCTGTCCTTTGGCCAAATCAGCTTTATTCATCAGCCAATTAGAGAAACATATGTTCACAGCATACAGAAGGACACCCCCCCCCCATCAATCTGTGGGGAATCAGAAACAGGTCTCCATCAATAAGGGGATGGGTCTGCCCATTATTTGTTTTATGCTTTACAATAGAGTTAATGTCAGTACACAAACCCCAGCATCTCTGTGTGACTACAACTTTCCTCTTAGGGGTCAGGGTACAATCCCCTGGGAGACAAGAACTCAGATCCTGCTCCTTCCTTACCTTTATTTCTTCCATATCAGAAAAATCACCACAGTTCCCATAACCAGAGCTCCAAGAAGCAGGCCAATAAGAATTGCCATGAGGATGATGGTTGGCTGAGGAGGCTCTAATGAGGGAGAGGAAGGAAGAGTGAGGATTCTGACCCTTGCTCTCAACCCTAGTTCTAAAGGGCTCACAATTACCTGACAACAGACTCTTGCTCAAACCCATCCCTTACCCCATCTCAGTATGCGGGGTTCAGGTAACCCTTCATGGTTCACGTGACAGGTGTATTTCAGCTCCTCTCCAGAAGGAACTACTATAGCTGCCCACTTCTGGAAGGTTCCGTCCCCTGCAGGCCTGGTGTCTCCCAGTTCCATATCCCAGGTGTGGTTGTTCCCATCCCTCTGCCAGGTCAGGGTGATCTCAGCAGGGTAGAAGTTCATGGCCAAGCACTTCAGGATGACATCCCCTCCAGGTCTCACTTGATGGGCCACATATGTTTGGGGAGGGTCTGAGGGGAACAATTGGAAAATTCAGGTATTTTGCATTCCTGCTGGGGCCTGAGCAGTGCACATGTGACCATCTCTGGAAAGGATGGGAGAGGTGGACAAGGGAGGGAGCAGAATTCACACAGCAGTCTAAACTCAGGAACTGGATGATGTATTCCTTGGGAAATTTCAGAATGATCACAAGGCCAGCACAGAGTAGGAGACTCTGAATCTCCCTCTAGGTAAATGGACTTCTGGTTCTGTCTGGGCGGGTCTGAGAGACTCAGGAACCCTGGTGTCAGACATTCAATGCCATTGTTCATGAACAGTGAACAGGCCTGAGAGAGGCCATGATTCCCAATGAAGTTATGGAAGGGAGCAGCTGCTTAATTGACACACAGGACTATCCTGGGAGAAGGATGAACCCTCTGGAGAGAGAATTTCTCTCTCATGTTGAGTCATGAAACTCTGGAGCAGCCTTATACCTTTGATGCAAGATAGGGTAAGTATTCCAGCTGCTCCCTGTTGAGGAGGAGGCCTCAGGAGATGGGAATTCTAATCTCAGAAGAAGGAGTTGGCAAGAGCCTCTCTTACCAGAGCGTAACAATATCTCCTTCCCTAGGTCCAGGCATCTACGAAGCATTTCCACACACTTCCCCTGCAGGTAAGTCCTCCAGCTCTCTGCCTCACCATCTTTCTCCCAGCTGTCCTTTATGATTTGCGCTGCCTTGCCCTCTGCAGTCCAAGTGCTCAGGTCCTCATTCAGGGTGATGTAATCGTGGCCATAGTAGGTGAACCGATAGTGACCGTGGAGGAAGCTCCCATTATTTTCCACATTGCAGCCAAGCACCTTCTGTATGGTGGGATAGTCTGGCCCACCCCCATTCAGCTATCAGTCACTGCTGCTTCAAACCTTCCCAGATTTTGTCCCAAACTAACCCTCTAACTGGGTCACAGTCTGTGGCTTAACCTTGGGCCTGGGGACCTGGGGTGGAGCAAATTGGGCAGGACCATGAGGGCATGGAGGGGTTGTGATCTGGGGTCACTCACCGATCTTGCTGTGTTTGTAGTATTTCATCAGGACCTCAAGAAATTTTCGATCACTCTGTGACTTGTGCAGGACATCCTCTGTTTCTTCCTCCCAGTACTCAGGTGGCTCCTGCTCCATCCAAGGAGCCCGAGGTTGCATCTTTGCAGTCGCTGCATTGCTGTCAAATCCCATGACCTGTGTGGTGTCCACATAGCAGACATGGATGAACCGGGGTTCCCAGATATCTGGCCCATAAACCAAGGCGTCGAAAAGTTGCAGCCAGTGTGAGCCTGGGGATGAAGCACATCGAGACCCTGACCCTTCTGCCTGGACCCAGGGCAGGTTGGTGGGCTGGAAAGGGAGCAGAGTAGGGGTGGTGAAAGGGAAAGGGACAGGGTCATCCAGCTGGGGAGAACAGGAAGGGTCTTGTTAGGCGATGGAGGAGAGGCAGAGGTAAGGATTCCCAGTGCTGCATACTGCTCCCCAAAAGGCCATTTGTCTCCAGGTCCCACACCCACCTGCACAGTTCTGGGTCAGGGCCAAGGCCACCACCAGCAGCAGGAGGGCACAGGGTCTAGATGTCCTCATCCTCCGAGATGAGTGGTGTCTCTGTCAGGACTTTTTATAACTGATGTGGCTGACTGGCTTCGCTAAGAATTCCCAAAGGTGGTGATGTAGATCTGGTGGGTTGGGTCATGGAGAGATGAACTCTTGGAAAAGAAATAGGGCCCTGCTTCCCAAACTTTGGATCCAGTTGTGAGGCCTTGCATCCTGGGATCAGTGTCTGAGCCCAGTTGCTTTACTTCACCCCCCACCCCATCTCTATCCCTTTGGTCCTGGTCACAACATCCTCAAGCCCAGCCCAGAACTCAGAAAGTCAGTAATTCTCAAGCATTTTGGTGTCAAAAATCTCTACATGTCCTTGGACATCGTGTAGATTTCAATGGTTATTGAGTGCCTGTGTATTATATCAGTCCGTATTAACCACGATAGGAACTGGAGGTTCTGAGACATTTGATTCAGTGTAGATATTAATAAGCAGCATAAAAAGAGAAAGCTATTTTCCAAAATGAAATGATGCTATGAAAAGAACTTTTTGGATATTTAACATTTCTGGGAGGCCTTATCTTCATCTTTCCCACTACAGATTGCATGGATTTTGTGTCTCCTTTTTAACAGTTTTGTTTTATTTGAATTGTACAAAAAAATACAGCTTTACAGACATATTTTAGGCAAGACAATTTTAAGATTCGGTCTTATTTGTATGTATTTGTGTGTCTCTGTGCATACACCACACCATAGACACACTAAAGAAGGGAGACCCAGAAAGACCCAAAAGACCCAGAAAAGATAGTGGGAAATCCTGGAGCTGGAGTTTCAGGAACCTGTGAACCGCCCTACTTGAGTGCTGGGAAATCAACTCAGGCCCTCTGCAAGGGTAGCAAAGGCCTTTCACATCTGAGACACCCCTTCAGGCCCAGCAGAAATATTTTCATTAACATCTTTAAACAATTCTTATTTTCTTTTGAGACAGGGTCTCAGTATGTAGCTTTGGCTGGCCTAGAAGTGGCTATGTAGACCAGGATGACCTAGAACTCAGATGTCCACCTGCTTCTGGCTCCAGATTGCTGGGATTAAAGGAATGTGCGAACAAGGTGAGCTAATCATCAATTATTTTTTTTTCCCTCACTAATAGTCACTAAATGGTGCAGGTGGTACTTTGTTAAGATTGTTTACATGGTGGAGCTTGCAACATCACTGAATTCTTCATCTGCTGCATCCATATCAATGGGAGGGGCTCGCATATTGAATGAATGCTATGTGAATGAACGTTATTTTAAAGTACAAATTATCAAAAACTCAGTCTTTAACCTGGCCATGCATTTTGTAGAAAGCTTTGGAAGCCTTTAGTAGATGGTGAATCTTTCAGGTGCTGAAGTCACTAAGGCTGTCTGGAGAGCTTAGGTTTTATCTTTGTGGGAGTCAGCTGGAAAAGGGATGTGTGGGTGATGAATTGACTTTTACACCTTTTATGGTGGAGGAGGAAGACAATACACCTCTAACTATACTACAGAGGAGTGCAGAGCAGGAAGGAAGAAGACCTCCGCCAGCTGTGTGTGTGTGGCAGTGTATGCGAGTTCAACATTTTCAGAATAGTTGTTCAGTTAGACAATTTCTATTTTCAGGTTCCTGGAATGAGATCCACTCTATGTGAATAAAGGGAGTGTAGACTGGAGCTGGGAGGAGCAGAAGAAGATTGTTCAAGGTTACTAAATAAACTGCTTAAAGAAGAGTCTGAGCGTTGCTTCTTCCTTGATGGTCAAGGTGGTCGCGATAAAGAAGGAGTTGGTGGGTCTAGAGAACACCCTCTCCCAGTAGAAGGAAGCAGAGCCATGAGAAAGACAGAAGGCCCTGAAAGTCTCCATCGCTGTATCAGTAACAGATATTTTAAGATGGGAGAGAGGGTACAAGGGAGGCAAAAGTTGCAAGCATCCACAGCAGGAAAGACACTGGAAAACTGTCTCCCCTCAGTCCCCAATCAGAGCAGTAGCCGAGTGCCATTTTTCAAAGACTTCTGCTGAGCAGGTGGCTGTTTAGCCCAGGTTCATCCCTCCAGTAGCCATACTCTTGGGACCGGTCAGAGCACATGCATGGGAATGTGTGCTGGAACCTAGCAGGGTTCCCGCACACAGTGAGGAGGAAACTTTGAATCAGACCATGCAGAATTAAGTGTAATAGTAATCTAGAGTCTGCAGGGAACATAGATACAGGTGCCAAGTGTATACTCACTAATATTAGGAAGACCCTCACAGAGGCCAGGCCAGTGTTCAAACTGCCAAGGGCATGGCTTCATGAGTGTGAGCAGCACCTGAAACCTGACCCACGAGGGACTGACTGTCTAGAGTGGACTAGTGTGCCTAGTGATGTGGACTGTGCCACATCACATCTTTTGCCTTGTGAAATTGCAAAAAGTTGCCCAGTGGTGCAGCAGACATCTGGGAACCCAGGAAGGAAGTCCAAATTCATCAAGGCAGCAAGAAGCAAGCAGTGGAGACTGTATTCAGACTTTATACCCCACACAGCTCTCTCTCTCTCTCTCTCTCTCTCTCTCTCTCTCTCTCTCTCTCTCTCTCTCTCTCACTCTCACTCTCTCACTCACACACACACACCTACTCCTCTATTTATGATACACTTGGTTTCACACTGCCATTGTATTGTGACCCCAGACAATGCATTTAGTGCAGCAAACGCAGATTCTATAAGTTTATCACACATCATTTTCTCTACAGATTTCACTCGTTTTTTAGAACGTGAATCAATCATCCACTCTGGCAAGAAATTGCAAAACCCATGTATACATCCTTCCTTTCAAGAGGGAAGTATGATGTTATAGTTCAATGAAATCTAAAGTTCAGTCAGTGGTGAAGATTTCTAAGCCAGCCTCTGCTGAAAGAGGGTGAGGGCTTGGAACAGAGAGGCTCAGTGTGGGCTGAACTGGGTTCCGCCCTTGAGAACATTGCCTGGTGGGAGACGATATGCAGACATAGTCAGATGCCAATTGCAGAATGAAAAGCCAGGAGCTTTAGAAGTAACAGTGGAAAAGGAAGGACCTGAACAAATCCTCTGGTTCAGTCCAACACAAGGCTCTGTCCCATCCTATAAACAAAAGAACAAGGAATCTATCTTCATTGTCGGGTGTTGGTGAGTGGAGACACTCCTAGGAGCCCATTGCATGTTCAATGTCTCAGTCCTGAGAATCAGTATAATGCAGGACATTATCCTATGTCTCTCCCCATGTCCTACTGTCCCTGTAGGGTCACATCTTTAAAAAGCTTTGACAGGAGCCCCTGCATCCCAACATTGTCTTTCCTGGAAAAAAGCAGAACATGACCTGATCAAACCCAACAGGAGATGGGACTAATGGAGGGGTAATGGCGACCCAAGCTCCTCCATGGGCTTCTGCCTGTTCTACCCAAATCTCAGGTCCAGGCCCCACAGTGATTCTTACTGTTGGACTGAGCAGAGGTTCCTCATATTTGAAAGCATTGAGAAAGCATTTTGTGAGAGTCCAGGAAGGAAGAAGATTCATGGGAAGGAGGGGGGGAGAGGTATCCAGAGGAGTCCCGTAATCCTTATCTCCCAGAAGTTTCCAGAAGTGTAACTACAGGCATAGGGAAGGATGGGGGAAACCCAATGCCTCCTAACTGGTCTCCTGAATGTCTGTTACCAGTAGGGGTCTTCTCCATAACTTCCCCTTGGCAGAATCTCCATCATCAGAATGATGAGTCCATCAATCATTTCCTGTATGCCTTATAAGAGAGTAAATCTCCACACAGCTGAGTAAGCAGCTATGTGCAACTACCCTTTTCCTCTTACCGGTCAGGGCATGTACATAGATAGCTCAGGCTTGAAGTCCTCAGAGAGACAAGACCTCAGATGCTACTCCTTCCTTACCTTTATTCCCCCTCTTCCATGATAAAACTTCTTGCCTTGCCACCTGTAGTCCGGGAGTTCAGATGCTCTGTCTAGGATAGGTAAGCTGACAGCACCCTCAGGGAAAGTGCCCTTTTGTGCCCAAGTCACAGCTATGTACATTCTTTAGAGCATGATATCCTGGTCTCCTGCCATTGCTGTCACACTTGCCACCAATTAGCACCACACACACACAAAGTCAGACTCTCCTCCACACAATTGCCCCAAGACCTTATTGACCCTAAACTGCACCCAAAACTGGGTATGGTCACCAAGCCTCTCCAGGTTCCAGAGTCTCCACAGGTCAGTTTGATGGGGTCTTTCCCTTAGGTAAGGAGAAAGCAGTGACTTGGGTCTGTCTGGACATGGAGGAGTCCTGACCTTTGAACCAGTCTTACTCACCCACAGAACTCTGGTTATAAAAACTGAACAATTTCCTCAGTTTTTCTTTGAAACCCTGTGTGGTTTCTAGGACTTTCTGTGTCTGTTTTCCCCAATACTCCTGACCCACCTTCTCCACTAGTGCCCCAGTGGCTTGGTCCTGTCTCTATAGAATCCCATTGTCCACACAGCAGCAACAGGAGACCCATGCCTGACAAGAGGGTGTAGAAATACTGCAGCAAATTGTGAGCCTGGGGATGTTGTATAGTGAGACCCCATTCTCCTCCCAGAACACCTTGTTGAGGCTTGGACCTGGAGAAGAGTAGGGTTCAGGTGGGGGTCTGGGCAAGAGCCATCCAATTGATGGAGCAGAGAGAATGTGATGAGGCAAAGGGAGGCATGGCTTCTCTTGTGATTTGTAGGCCCCTGCATGGACCCCTGAGGCACCTTGAGCTAGCCTGAAGCTGTTGGCTGGAACTCCTTGCCCCAAGGCTGTTGTTGGTACTCTTCCCGTTTTGATGACACAGACCTCGTGACAACACACACCTCACAGGGAGGAGCTAAGCCTAAAATTCCTGTAATTTTTCACTGTTCTGTAAGTCAGTATTTAAGTCCGTTCTTTCCCCTCAATAAAGGGCATTTGGCATTTGGCGTTTCTACATTGCCATTGAACGAATGACCCACTGTCTTGTCTTTATTTCAATCTTTAGGCTTTTGCCCGATTCGTGAAACAG